ACCCGACCCGACCCGATAATATTTTGGGAATTATTATGAAAAAGGTGACATTTTGGGAATTATTTTGAAAAAGGTGACATTTCGAGAATTTTTGTAAAATTGACAAATTGGGAATTATTCTTAAGAAGATAACATTTCGGGAATTTTTGTAAAAAAGGTGACATTCTGGGAATTATTTTGAAAAAAGTAACATTTTGGTAATTTTTGAATGTGGACTATTGAACCCCTTTGATCATAACTTTGACCAGCTTTAAACGGCCATTAAACAACCTTTGATTTTGTTCGAGTATACCTATTCTGACATTTTTTGACGTGCCGAATTTGTTTCCGAAGTTCGTTTCATCAAATTCGTACCCGAAGGCCTCTAAATCATCAGTCAAACCCATTGACTTTGATTTTGACCAAGAATTTGAATTTTCAAAAAGTCATATTTTATATTTTTCGACGTCCTGATTCCGATTCCGCAATCCGTATGGTCAAATTCAGACTCGAAATCCTCCAAATTGATAGTCAAACCCGAAAAATGCTTATATACTTAAGAATTTTAGCTTTGATCAATTAAGTAAGTCTTGGAATTAATAAATTATTATTGTTTGAAGGTACAAGAGACTATCCGGATCGTTCGACAGCTCGACCCAGCTCTTCTAGATCAGTTAAACCACGTGTGCCAATATTCACCCGTAAAACCCGTAAATTTTATGATTTCAGAAATTAATTTTGTTACCCATTAGTAATATAGTGTTATTATGGATTAGGTTCGAAAACAGTAGCAGAGCGTGGCGAGACCAACAATCACTATATCTACTATTTGAACCTATTGTCGAGGTGTGTTCCCTGTGTACTACTTGATTGTTTTATATGTTTTGAAATATGGTAAATTGAAAGCTATGGTTTAATGTTTTATTAATCCACCTATTTACTGGTGATGGTTTATGGAATATGACTGATATATGATTATTGGTTTTTATTCGTATATGATAATATTGAATATGGAATTATGGAAATTATGCTTACTGCATAAATAGTATTTTTGAAATACTGATTTTAGGTTGGATTGCATTACGAAGGTACAGCTTTGATCAAGCTGGTAAACTTTATGGAACTAATGTGACTCTTGGTAGGCCCACGGGCCTCAAGATGCTTCATTAGGTTGGCTTCCTTTGCTATGTGCTTAGGGTAAGCCCTACGGACTTTCGGACTTAAGGATACAGGCCCGAAAGCCTATTCTTAGGTTGGCTACCTTTTTGCTGAGTGCTTAAGGTAAGCCCTATGGACGCAGTTATGGGAAATTGCGGATGGTGTACAGGAGAAGGGTTTTAAATTACGAGTTTCAAAAGTTAAACTTCATTATGATTTGATGATGAAATTCTGAACTATTACTCATTTACTGTATCGACTATGATTTTATTGTACTATTAGGACACTGAGCCTAGCTCACTTTTCGAAAATGTTTTCCCCTTTCAGATACTGTTGGTTAGATACACCTGATTGAGCACTTGGAGGATCAACATATCTCTTGAAGTATATCATATTGTAATACTTTACTACCTCTTTATGCTCTATGGAACATGTTGATATTGGTAAATGCATGAATAAGATAATGTTGGTCACTTTTGTGGAGTTGAATAATTTATACACTCGATATGAATGTGGTAGAAATTCTGTAACTGAATACAGATCGAATGACTAATATAAGAGATTAGGAATTGTTAGAATTAAATTACAGGTTTGCGATTAGTGATAAAGAAATCAGCCTTGGATTTTTAGCTTATATTTTATATCATCAAAGGTACTTAGATGATAAATTATGAGAATATTTCGATTAGGTAAAATTACGAAATTACCCTTATGTTGGAAAATGACAAGAATTGTCCCTGGAAGTGGATTAATAAATCTGAAAAGACATATTGATCTGATAAAACTATTGATGTGCATAAGAAATAATAGTTTTACTTGGAAAGTCTGGATAATCGGTTTTAACCACAAAAGGGTTTTAACAAGATACTTTGACTCGAAATTCACGGTGTTTGACAGCGTTTCGCTAAAATTGGTTTATTGGGTTTTGATCACAGGTCGAAGATGAAAATGATGGTGGTTTCAATTTGACGATCAGAGGTCGGACGGCGTCGGAATCGGGCTTTGAAGTAGAATGGGGAGGAGGAAATTTCACAATTGTTTTCTGTTTTGAAAACGGAAAATCATTCACGTATATATCAAATTTCCTGTCGACACTAAAAGGAGTAATTCAGGGCTTGGTCCCTGAATTTCCTTCACTTCTAATATGGCCTACAAATTTTAAAACTTTTAATTTAGTACGAAATTTACCTTATAGAGGGGGAGAATTGTAACAAACTAGGAAAAAAAATTATCAATTAGTAATTGGGCGAAATTTGGTGACTAAATTAAATGTTTTAAAATTTTGTAGGCCATATTAGAAGTGAAGGAAATTCAGGGACCAAACCCTGAATTACTCCTTTTAGTGTCAGCAGGAAATTTGATATATACGTGAATGATTTTCTGTTTTCAAAACAGAAAACAATTGTGAAATTTCCTCCTCCCGCACTCTACTTCAAAGCCCGATTCTGACGCCGTCCGACCTCCGATCGTCAAATTGAAACCATCATCGTGTTCATCTTCAACCTGTGATCAAAACCCAATAAACCAATTTTAGCAAAACGCTGTCAAACGCCGTGAATTTCGAGTCAAAGTATCGACGTTTTTTTAGCACCATCGCCGGGAAAATCTTAAATTCATCTCCGATCGTTGATATGTTTTCGATACCTCATGCACCATCGTGTTCTTGGTGTCGTTCCGAGTCCGACGGTGTCGTCCTTGTCTCCGTAGGCGGCGGCGCGTGTTGGAGGTAGAGCGGTCAAAGATTCGGCCGAGTTAAAATCGAGCTCTCCACCATTCAAAAATTTGAACCGAGGTTGGTACGTGTCTCAAAATCACTTAAAAGAATTTTTGCATGAATTTTTGGAGGCCAGAGGTGGTCTCACGCGCCGCCCCTGCGCGTGGGAAAGATTCGACTTGCAGTTTAATTGGTTGACCAGCTTGACCGGTCCAAATCGGTCTGACCGGTCCGAATCGGATTGATCGGTCTGACCCGACCCGTTGACCGACCCGACCCGATGATATTTTGGGAATTATTATGAAAATGTTATATTCTGGGAATTATTTTGAAAAAGGTGATATTTCGGGAATTTTTGTAATAAAGTGACATTCTGGGAATTTTTTAAAAAAATATGACATTTCGGGAATTTTTTGAAAAAGGTGACATTCTAGGAATTATTTTAAAAAAGTGACATTTTGGTATTTTCGAATGTGGCCTATTGAACCCCTTTGACCATAACTTTGACCGGCTTTAAATGGCCATTAAACGACCTTTGATTTTGTTCGAGTATACCTAATTTGACATTTTTCGACGTGCCGAATCCGTTTCCGAAGTCCGTTTCATGAAATTTGAACCCGAAGGCCTCTAAATCATCAGTCAAACCCGTTGACTTTGATTTTGACCAAGAATTTGAATTTTTGAAAAGTCATACTTAATGTTTTTCGATGTCCTGATTCCGATTCCGCAATCCGTATGGTCAAATTCAGACTCGAAATCCTCCAAATTGATAGTCAAACCCGGAAAATGCTTATATACTTAAGAATTTTATAAGCATTTTAGCTTTGATCAATTAAGTAAGTCTTGGAGTTAATAAATTATTATTGTTTGAAGGTACAAGAGACTCTCCAGATCGTTCGACAGCTCGACCCAGCTCTTCTAGATCAGTTAAACCACGTGTGGCAATATTCACCCGTAAGACCCGTAAATTTTATGATTTCAGAAATTAATTTTGTTACCCATTAGTAATATAGTGTTATTATGGATTAGGTTCGAAAATAGTAGCAGAGCGTGGCGAGACCAACAATCATTATATCTACTATTTGAACATATTGTCGAGGTGTGTTCCCTGTGTACTACTTGATTGTTTTATATGTTTTGAAATATGGTAAATTGAAAGCTATGGTTTAATGTTTTATTAATCCACCTATTTACTGGTGATGGTTTATGGAATATGACTGATATATGATTATTGGTTTTCATTGGTATATGATAATATTGAATATGGAATTATGGAAATTATGCTTACTGCATAAATAGTATTTTTGAAATACTGATTTTGGGTTGGATTGCATTACGGAGGTACAGCTTTGATCAAGCTGGTAAACTTTATGGAACTAATGTGACTCTTGGTAGGCCCATGGGCCTCAAGATGCTTCCTTAGGTTGGCTTCCTTTGCTGTGTGCTTAGGGTAAGCCCTACGGACTTACGGACTTAAGGATACAGGCCCGAAAGCTAGGTTGGCTACCTTTTTGCTGAGTGCTTAAGGTAAGCCCTATGGAAGCAGTTCTGGGGAATTACGGATGGTGTACAGGAGAAGGGTTTTAAATTACGAGTTTCAAAAGTTAAACTTCATTATGATTTGATGATGAAATTCTGAACTATTACTCATTTACTGTATCTACTATGATTTTATTGTACTATTGGGACACACTGAGCCTAGCTCACTTTTCGAAAATGTTTTCCCCTTTCAGATACTGTTGGGTAGATACACCTGATTGAGCACTTGGAGGATCAACATATCTCTTGAAGTATATCATATTGTAATGTTTTATCTTTTAAGTTGACACTATTTTGGTAACATGGCCCTTATTTTAAAGTATTGGATTTTATAATGATTTCTCCTTTGCTATTTATATTTGGGTTATTGTAAATTTGAATTTTTAAGACATGTTTAAATTAATTGTTTTTCTTCATTATATTTATAGGATTTATTTTTATAGTATAAATTATTATAGTTTCATAAACGCCATTTATAATGTGATTTTACCATGATTGAATAATGGTTTCAAAACAATATCTTTAAGAATCATGAATGTGATTCACTAGACTTAGTCGAAACGCATAGACCGGGTCTAGGGTGTTACAGTTTCTTCGTGGTTTTAAGGTGATGTCGGCACTGATATCGGCGTTGATTGAGCGTTGGAGACCTGAAACGCATATATTTCATTTTCCTTATGGTGAAGTAACGATAACGTTGGAAGATGTCGTGTATCTACTTGGCGTTCCGATTAATGGTATGCCATTGGTGCTTCGCAACAATTATGTGCGAGATGCAGTTATTTATAATTTATTGGGAAAGGAGTCTCTAGCCGATGTTATTGATGGGATGCGAATACGGATGACGTGGTTGGAAAGAGAATTTAGAGTAGATGGACAATCGACAATGCAAGAGGTGAAATATGCAGCTCGAGCATATCTTATGACGTTGATTGGAGGGATCTTGCTACCGGATAAATCGGACAATTTAATATCTTCCGGTATTTGAGGATTTCCTTGTATGTTGCCAATATAGATGGAATTCTGCAATTTTGACTTTTTTGTATTGTGAACTTTATAAGGCGACTATGGTTGGGGTTCCGAAATGAGAATAAAATGATTATTTAATCAAAATTTAAAAGTACTTTTTTTATATTCTATTATAATAAACTGATTGATAAATTTAAAAAAGATTTTCAAATAATTTATGAGTAATAAGGGTAAAATATTAGTTTTTTTATAAATTCTAATTCTACTAAGTGGGGAGGAGGTGACTCTAAATAAAAGGAAAGAAAATGCTTTTAATGAATCTAGGACACATATTCTTATTTAATATAAAAAAATAAAAATGAACAACTTAAGCTTAACTAAAATCTTTACCCTTTCTAATAAACTCGTTAAATTAATGGCATAAGTATATTTTTGGTGTTGGATTTGTCATGATGGCTTGTTTTGTTCTCCTTTCTGTTGATGCATGTTTGTTGTTAATGTAATAAAAAATGTTTGTTGTTAATAAAAAAAAGCATAAATTTGAGTCTATTTTCGTTGGGTTATTACAATGATTAATGTCTTGTTTGATATTTAGAATGAATTATCCTGATCGAATATGTAAAACTTTTATATAAAGTTTTGGATGTAATCCTTCAAAGAAAAGAATGTCATAAGTAAATAATCATTTTGATTTTTATTTCCTTTTTAAAAGTATTTTAATATCAATATTTCATTTTAAGACAAAAATATCACAGCGTTTAACTAAATGGTCACTTTAATTCATATTCATTTTTTAAGAACATTTTGACCTCTTAACATTTCATTTTAAGATAAAAAAACTTATTTTAGAACATTACCAGTTTGTTGACAAACGAATTTTATCCATAAAGCAATAGTTTCACACCTAAAATAAAACATTAGAAGTCAAAATACCTAAAAGAGAATACGATCAAAATGACTATATAGTAAATCATTATAGACAATTTTTTTGGCGGTATATCTTTAAAAATTTGAACTTATAGGTCACATATTTCTTGCATTTAGGGCAGAGTCAAACATATCTTTTGCATATTGGCTCCAGTCAATGAATAATGGGATGAATGAATTTTCTTACAAAATGCTAATGGCTTCTGCTTCACAATGTGTCAAAGATGATACAAATCGATGGCACATGTACAACAGGATCATTTCCAGAAAAATAGTTAATCACATCTCAAAAGACATTTTACGACTCATCCGACTTCAGCTTGAGTACTACAGGGATCTTCTCCTTGTGATCTCCACGCAACACCTCCACGGTAACCTAAAGAAACGAGCATGGAAAAGTCTGTAAATTGGGAATTATTTAACATATATTAAAAGTGAATTCCGTACAATATTATTGTTCAATGCTATACCGTTTCACCAACTTAGCATTGATAAAGAATTCTGTACAAATCACTGCCATTGTTGACCTTTTCATTAACAGATGTTATTATATCACCCAAAACTAGTCTACCATAAGCATCGTACTTTGTCGGTAGCAGACCCTGTAACATATTGAAAGATCAGCCGTGCAAATCTTCTTTTCATTGAAGCATAATGATCAAAGAGTTTACGTATACAGATATGAACACAGTTGTAAATTTCGATAACACAGTGAGCATACTGCCTTGCCAGCCGGACCATTTGGAGGAGTATCTAAGACGAGTACTCCAGTTACTACCAACTGTTCGACAGATTGATACGGCGCAAATTTAATGCCTAAAATAGGTCTCGTCACCTTCACAAACTTCACCAACTGATCAACAATGCCACTGACCTGGAAATGTAGGAATGAGTGGATGACTTAATCTAAGCAAAGAAAAAGAAACAGATAAATACTTGCATCTCAGCACACACATCGGATCAAATGGAATACAAGGTCTGTGGTAATAGTTGCCGTGTCAACTAGAATCGAAAATCCGAAACCAGAAGACCCACCAGAAGGAGATTATATGGCAGTGTTTATCCCAATAAGGTTTCCGGAACTATCTAGGAGTGGCCCTCCACTATTACCAGGATTAATGGCAGCATCTGTCTTTATGACATCTTGAATTGGGCGACCAGTTGCAGCAGAACTGATTTCTCTACGAAGGCAACTAGTATAAAAGACGCATCAGCAAAACCTCAATTCACATAAAAATGGAAAAAGTAGCAGGCAATTAAAATCAGTCATATTGACCACAATCATTGGTATTTGGAACCTGATAAAGCCGGTTGTAAGAGTATGATCAAGTCCGAACTGCAAAAGCATAAAAAAAAAATTAGGAAACGAACTTGAGGAAGCCCTCAAAGAGCTCCAATACTAGCAGTAAAAGAACATGATCACTTTCTTTTCTAAGACGATCTCTTTAAACATTATAAGAAACAGGTTGGGAGAAAGCAATCTGTTTCATATCGTGTCGCAGAGAATAAAACATAAGATATACGATGCACAAAGGGTATAGATCATTTCGGGCATAGACAGAAATGATAATAAACACTTACTCACCGGGTTGTCAATAGCATATACTTTCTGACCCACAAGCAAATCAGCCGAGACACCAACAGGTATAGGTCTTAGTTTGTCTTTGGGTGCACCAACGCGCAATACAGCGACATCCTTGTCTTGGTCGAATCCAACGACTTTTGCATCATAAGTTGTCTGATCAGCAAGAGTAACCCTGCAGGTGATTACCACCAACTTAAAATTTTGAACTTCACGAAAAAGTTTAAAAACATTTTTGTCCATTATATCCCCAGGGCCCGAGGCCAGATAATTTCCAAGGTTACCTCGTAGTTTTAGTGGCATAAAACCGATGTAAACAATCCACAATCAATCAAGTATTTCATCCACAATCAATATTAGGGTTAAGGGATGAGAAAATTTTTGACTTTTCAGTCGTTCTATCTAGCCGACCTCTGCGGTTCTTCTTCTACATTCTTTTGCAACACTTTTTCATCATCATCTTCTACCTATTTTTTTCTGTTTTCTTTCTATTCTTTTCCCTAAGGCGGAAGAAAAGTGCACTTCGTGCCTATGTAGAAAAGCCCCCAAAGGGCGCCAGACAGCGCTTCCTGTTTTGCATTGCGCCTGTGTCATCGGAGGCGATTTCTCCGGCACCCACCTCTCCCGGCGCCTTAGGCGTGCTTTGAAAACCAAGGTTGATTCCTCCAACTATTAAAAGTTACAAAATAATCATCCGACTATTCATATGTTCCAAACTCATCTTTTTTTATTAAAAAATTGACAGTCATTCTGAGTAAGACATTAACTTGTTGACTAATATATAATGATATATTTTAATGATGTCTATTGACATCGTCGTTGATTTCAAGCATTGACTCAACAACATAATGTTTCAAGCACGGGCTCAAATCCATGATAAAAGCAGAGAATCGATCCACCAAAATATAACTCAAACGGTTTTGGATCAGATTTATAATAGCCCAATCAAAATAAACGTCTAACTCAGACGACCATCAATTTTTTAACGGAAAATGATAAGTTATGAACATACGAATAGTCGAACGTAGATGATTATTTTATAACTTTTAATAGTCGGAGAATTCAACAAAATAACATCTTATAATTTGGGATCACTTAATAGTCGAGAGTCTCAACAAAAGAACACCTATAATCAGAAGACCATTTGCATACTTTACCCTAAAAAAATCTTTAACCAGTACCCAGGGCAGGAGGGCAGGTACTTTCCAAGGTTAATTTACAGGTTTCCAGTTGGAACTACGTTAGAGACTTAGAAACATGTTACCAACTACTTATCGCAAGTCTTAAACCTCCAAAAGCAGTCATAATGAATTCATCCCAATTGTAGAATGCACCCTTCTATTGCTCGATCAAGAAAAACCATTCACACCATCAAGGTCATGTCACAGACAGCATTCTAATGCTTAAATCACCCCCTCCCCAATCAAAAGCAATGATTCAAACAAAGACAATGTCTAATTCCAACGATATGCATAAAAATTAACATAACTGCTAACATATTTTCAATGCTAACATATTTTCAACGATGATATGACATTAATTTATTCTTGGCACATCAAATAAAATTAAGTTTAGGTATCAAAATGGAACAAATGTAATAGTTTAAGTAACCCTAGATATATACATTTCCCTTCTACAATAATTCAATCCTAAGCATTTAATGCAAACACAGGAAACGATTAAATTAATTAATTTTTTTTATAAAAAAAACCCGAACTTGAGATCAGATGCACCGCGAATCAGACGATAATTCGTGACAACATGACCATCTTTATCCCAAACGAAACTCGATCCAGATCCTTGTGGTACCTCCAGCACATCCAATGTAAAAGCATCCTGCCTAGACAAATCCAATTACCCAAGAAAATCCTTAAAAAAACAGCAAAAATGGAAACTATCCAAAAAAGAAAGCGCAAATTTCGAGTGAACCTGACGGCGAGATTGGTGATGTAAACAACAGATGGAGTGTTCTCGTGAAAAAGATGAACCGTAACCAGCTCATCGGTCTGTAACTTTCGGGGAGTAGTTACCACGAAGGCAGAGGAGGATCCCACATCGGTTACGAACAATGAGAGAGATAGAGAAAGGGAAGTGCAGAGTAGAAATAAGGAATTTAAAGCTGAAGAAACAATAAAATCACAATCAGACTTAATGTGACTATTGTTTTTGGTTTGATTCAAAATAAGACCGCGGAGAGAAGAGAGAGAGTTTTTTGGTTGGGAAGAAAAAAGAGGGTTTCGAGGTGGAAAGGAGCTTTTGGGTTCTGTTTGGGAAGCGAGAAAACGGGGAGGGAGAGACGAGGATCGAATAAAAAGTGTGGAAAGGAGTGAATAAGCAAGCTGCCATTTTTTTTCTGCTGGATTGGACACCTCACAGGAACCATATCACTAATTTCACTCTTTTTTTTTTCCTATAATTTATTTTTCTTGGTTGAATTTGTTTTGTACATTATATATATATATATATATATATCGGAATCGCCTTTCGGTAACTCTAAATTAGACTTCGACTTGAATAAGATGTGTTATAGCCGTCACCGATCATTTATTTTAAAGATAAAAATAGGTTGATCGGACACCTTAATTTCTTATCTGATCTGCATCTTACCAGAGATGTATCAGATTCAGGAGCGGTTACAGTCAAGGAAAGATTAGCACCCTTGAACTGTCTTTTCGGTACTAATAAATTTACAGTTGTCTTTAATAAAGAAAATTAAAAATTTAAATCAAAAAGACCCCTGATGGATTCGAAAGTGTACCCTTAAAAAGTCAAGAAACGTGTTAAATAGAAAAATAAATACTGAATCGAAATAAGTGTCACTATGCATGCTAAAGAATTAAAAAAAACTCACATTAACACACAACAAATAAAACCTATTAAAAAGATAAAAAAATAAACTCTAAAGGATAATAAAAATCTAATTCTCAAAAACAAAACAATAAAATAAAACAAACTCATAAAAAATAAAAAAATAAAATAAAAACAACATAAAATAAAATAAAAATAAAGAAAAATATAAAAATAAAAAAATAAAAAAAAGAAAACAAATATCATAACTAAATACAAGGCACAAACAACAAGAAAAAAATATATAATAAAATATAATATTTAATAAAAATAAAGAAACGAATAATGAGGAAAAAAGATAGGAATATTAAGGAAAAAAATAAATAAATAGAATATATATAAATAAAATGTAAGGAAAACAGAGGGAAAAAAGTGAAAAAATAAAAATAGGCAAATTAAATAAAATAAATTAAAAAAATATAATAATAATAATAATAATAATAATAATAATAATAATAATAATAAAATAAACCAAAAATAAGGAAAAAGAAAATGGTAAAAAATATGAATAAAAATAATAAGAATAAAAACATAACAAAATAAATAAATAAATAAATAAATAAATATAATAAGAATGAAAGGGATTAAATTAAAATAAAAATAAAATTGAAGGTCAAATTAAAGAGAAATTTGAGACAAAAATCGATTCTGGGGTTAAATTGAACACTTAAAAATAGCGAGGACCCAAAATGGGGTTTCTCCTTTTTACTTCAAAAACACGCGGATCCATCCGCTCGGGTTACGAGTCGATCCATGGGTTGGGTATAAAACCCAATAACACAAACACCCAACTCATTTTCTCTTAGCCTCAAAACAAATCAAAGCTAAAACCAAGCAAATCCTCTCAAGTGTTCATCCATGTTCTTCGAGGATGAAGAACAGCCACCGTGAAACCCAGTTTTCGATGACCCCATCGTCTCGCCGGTAACTTTTTTTAAACCTTTGATAAATCCTTTTACTTCCAGTCCAAAAATCAAAATGGTTTTCAAAAATAGGCCCCGGGGGGGAGAGTAAATCTAGAAAACAAATTTCGAAAATCCTCCCCCTCCGGTCATCGGCTGAAAACCTCTTTTTTTATTTTTTTTTCGGATTGAAATGAAGGGAAAACGAACCAAAACCCACATGCAAGCGAAGAAAATAAATAAAGGTAAGGACTTTCACCTTTTTTATTGTTTTTCAAAATGTTTACAAGGCTTAGATTTCTCCAACTTCTCGTATTTTTGGTATTTCTTCTGTGTCTCTTGTGTAATCTTGTATCCCCTTAGAAAGTAAACATTACATTTATTTATAGAAAAAAATGCTATTTTTAGACTCCTAATAAGATTCAAACTCTAATCTTGTTTCTTTGACTTGTTGGAGCACCGAAAAGATCAGGGTTGGTCGTTGGTTGCGTGAGGAATCAGCAGCGGCACTTGAGGAGATGGGTGAGAAGCGACGCTGGGGATTAAGGTTGAAGCTAGGGTTGTAAACCCTAGCTGGACCGATTTGGGTCGCGATTCGGGTCTAGACTACTGAGTTACTCTAGTCAGGTTTCTGGGCCACCCTTTGTAATAACGTTGGGTTGAATGTTTAGGCCTGAAATATGTAAAATAAATTAAGTGTAAATATACATATTATATAATATAATTTGTAAATATATTATATTAATGTAAATCAAATGGAAGTGGAAAAAATTAAGTGTCTACAACTGCCCCTCTTTGCTCATTATCGTGTAACGAAAATAGAGCAAAGATTAAAAGACACATATTTTGTCCATATCGAATGTCCTCTGTTGTAGAGTTGAAATCTGATATCAAGACTGGATTGACAATTTGGATTGAAACATGAAATGACTCCCTCGTCGTGAGGTCGAGTTGAACTGAAAAATTCTGAGCACGATATCCTTTCGTCGTGAAGTTGAAATCGAACTCAAAACTTTGGCAAGTAGCCCCTGAACCATATTCTAGCTCAAGATACTTCGTCGTGAAGCTAAAACTTGACCTGAAGACTTTGGTGTTGTTGTGTTACAGATGACTCCTTCGTCGTGAAGTTGGGTCAATCTTTTGGGTACGATATCCTTCGTTGTGAAGTTGAAATCGTAGGAAAATCGAAGAGTGGCTTCTGGTTTCTATCCTTGACCTTGGTCTTCTTCTCGACTTAAAGACCTCGGCGTGAAAATTTTGACCGAAAAGTAGTTCCTTGCTGCTACCTTGCGGTGAATACGTCTTCGAGATGAATGATATCAAACTCGATAATTCTCATTGACCGATAACCTTTCTCGCCTTGAGTTATGTTGTACTAGGCTGAGAGATTGCCCCAGATATTCTTCTTGACTTGAAAACCTCGGCTTCAACCAGAAAATAGTTTCTCGGTGCTACCATGTGGTTGATGTGTCGTCGAGCTAAATGGAATCGAACTCGACAATTTTTATTGAAAGATAGCTTTTCTCGACTTAAGCTATGCTGTAATTTGACATACCCTTGAGTGAATGGAATCAAACTCGAAGGTAATTATTGACAGATAGCCCTTCCCGCCTTAAACTATGTTGTAAATTTGATGTGCCTTTGAGCTTAATGTAATCGAACTCGAAGGTCTTTGCTGACAGATAACCCTTATCGCCTTGAGTTATGTTGTAAGTTTGGGGAATGAATCCTTGTTGTTGCAAATACTTAAAGTCGATCCATTGGGCATGATATCATTTTTCGTGAAGTTGTAATTGAGGATGGCTCCTTCGTTTGTGAAGTTGAGCTTTGGATCGGTTATCCTTCATTGTGAAGTTGAAATCCAATCTGGATCGGTTATATCCTTCATTGTGAAGTTGAAATCCAATCTAGAGATTGATGCTTGTGGTCACGATATCCTTCGTCTTGAAGTTGAAATCGTGTATGGGTCATTCGTTGTGTAGTTGAGCTTTGAATTGGATATCCTTCGTTGTGAAATTAAAATCCAATCTAGAGATGGATGCTGCTTGTGGCACGGTATCCTTCGTCGTGAAGTTCAAATCGTGGATGATCTTTCATTGTGAAGTTGCGCTTTGGATGGATATCCTTCGTTGTGAAGTGAAATCCAAGAAATGTTTCACCAAATTGGTTTTGAGTTGGATATCCTTCGTCGTGAAGTTAAAATCCAATCTTGTGTAAGTTGCATTGCTTCGAGTCCAATATCATTCGTTGTGAAGTTGAAATTGACTCTGAATGAAACTGGAAAGTTGTTTGTTGAGTCCAATATCCTTCGCTATGAAGTTAAAATTGACTCTAAATGAAACTAGAAAGTTATTTGTTGAGTTCAATATCCTTCGTTGTGAAGTTGAAATTGACTCTAAATGAAACTGAAAAGTTATTTGTTAAGTCCAATATCCTTCGCTGTGAAGTTGAAATTGACTCTAAAAGCTGGAAAGTTATTTGTTGAGTCCATATCCTTCACTATGAAGTTGAAATTGCCTTTAAATGAAACTAGAAAGTTATTTGTTGAGTCCAATATCCTTCGTCGTGAAGTTGAAATTGACTCTAAAAGATGCAAAAAATTATGTATGCAAAAAATGATGAATGTGATGCTCTTAAGTATGTCTAAGATGCATGCAATATGAATTAGTTTTATTTTATCTCTTGGGTGGAGTCTCGTTTTTGTCTGCTGGTCTTGTCCTTGGAATCGACCATGCCCCATTTTCTTTGACACTGTCACAAGTTATATCTGGTCTCTCGGACAAATTGTTTTCAAGAATATGAAATGATCAAAATTTGGCATTGTTCGTTATTTCTTCGATAGAGGCAAAATGAGTCTCAACAACTTCCAGGACTTTCACATTTGAGACTGTCATGTTTGAAAATCTTTTTCTCCTTTCTCTTATTTTAGGAGGGAAAAGATAAAAATATAAGAATTCTGTAAAACATTGCCCCTTAATTTTGGCTCACAATCGAATCAAATCATAAACATGAGTTCAAATAATATCAAAAGAATCAATAGCTCTTTACTGCTTTCAGAGTTATAGCTCTCTGACAAACGTCCAAAATTGATGTGTTGATTTCAGGTTGGCTTCCTATTTTCTAAGGTTTTGGCCATCGAAATGTCATTTCTTTCTTGGTCCTTTTAAACATCGCAACATGCCCCTATTTCTTGGCTTGGTATTTTAATCGGATGCGGAAAAAATGACGCAACTAGCATAATCAATTACTAGACCTTCTATTTCAGTCCTTTGAAATCTTCCATTTGTTCAAGATTTGTATACTCCTTTAACAAAGGCAGTGCGAAAATATCGGCCTAAAAATGAAATTCTTGAGTGCTCGTTTGAAATTAATTATAACAGATGTTTCTTAACTCCCTTAGTCCATTTTTACCAAAACTCCTTATTTAGATAAATTTAATTTGCCATTGTCTGGCTAGCTGAATCCATAAAGTCGGGGCGTTTAACCATTTTCTCTAGAGGGACAACTCAATATTATAATCACCTTTATCAGGCTAACTGAATCTTATCCATAAAACCGGGGCGTTTAACCAATTGCCTTAGAGGGACAGCTCAAGCTTTATTATATAGATATTATAATCATCTTTATCAGGTTAGCTGATTCTTATCCATAAAGCCGGGGCGTTTAACCAATTTCTTTAGAGGGACAACTCAAGCTTTATTGTATATATATAATATTATAATATGGTATACGAATCCAATTTCTTAAGTTTGTCAAGAAAAACCTGTTATATCTAGGTGTTGTTGGAAGTCAATGAATCTCAACTTTAGAGTTTAATTTCTAAGCGAGTTACCTAAACTAGATTCACCTACTCGACTATTCCATCTGTGAAGATCATTATCATCATCGAACGTCCTCAACAAAAGTGTAATAATGTCATACACAAAAGATCCCTCATGTTGTCCGCTCTTATGCACACCTAATACCAAGCCTCTTGTTCATTCCCTTATGAAAAAGAGAAGGCTATTATCGAGAAGTATGTGGTGTTTTGGTGTGTCTTTTAGGGTAAAACCAAGTGTCGTTATTTGATCATGTCATTTTATCAAAGATCTGTAACTCCGACAATTTATAGAGTTTTTAATTCAATTGATATTAAAAAATTTCAAGTTGTAAATTTGGTTCAATGTTCGGCATAAATTCATTCAAAAATCCATAAAAAGAAAGTCCAAAAATAAGTTCCAAATACGAGAAAGTTCAAAAACAAATCCAAACATGATGCCGCAAAATGTAATAAGGCCTCATCACAATGCCCCACTAGTTGGATTAGGGTCTTCATCTGTACTTTCTCCCCATTTCTCAATTGTTTCACTTGTCGGGGCTCCTTTTGATGTACCCTTCGATGCACAAATTTATGCTTCTTCTCAAGCAGCTTCTTGGGAATATCCTACTTCATTGTGATTTATCAGTTTTTTCTTTCCTGGGTAGAAATTAGGCCCAAATTTAGATCCGAAATGATTTTCCTCGGTGGTGATAGTTTTGGTTGGATCCCGAACGCATATTATAGATGTGATTGGCATAATATTCGTCAGGCCTTCTAAGTTGCCCAGAACCCATCTTGCCTTCAGGAAATATGATATAGGTGTTTGAGGTGTCTTCAAAGCAGCATTTGTCCCACTGATTCTTAAACCCATGGTCCAGTCTCGGACTGCGTTCATGGAAGCTCTTTTGTTTAGCTTTCCTATCCTCTTGCGCCTTATGCTTTTCACATGAATCCTCTGTTGAAGCAGTTTGAGGTGTCTTCCTTGATACATCTTCCCTATCCATTCTCAAACCCACGGGCCAATCTCAGATTACATTCATGGAAGTCCTTCTGCTTGGATTTCCTTTTACATCCTTTTGCGCCTTATGTTCTTTACAGGAAACCTCTATTGAAGCAATGACTTTCGAGTCTTAGACCTTGATCCCTTTCTCTTCTAACTTGAACCCATGAATTTCTTATTCTAAAGGATCCGTAGGGTTGCTAGGAACCTTAACGGAACAAGCTAGAGTTCCATCCTGGTTTGTCTAAGGAATCTCCTTATAGGTTTATTTCTCATTCGGGGGCCATTGTGGCTAGACATATCCTGGTGTAACCAATCCGGCTGTGAGCATTTTTAAATGTAGTTTTTCAAGTGAAAAATGGAAGAGAGGGAATTGAAAACCCTGCACTTTCTCTTTCTTTTCATTTAGTCCCCGTGACGAGATACTACTTGGCAATGATTTTATGGATAGGACTTGAGTGTCCTTACTGGATGATTGTAAAGGGTTATGACCTCTAATCATGAGAGGTTAATCATTCTTGGCTTTCTTGGTCAACACTTGGTCATCTTTTATGACCCTCTTCTTTGAGTAAAGCTTCTTTCACAAAGGAAATTTCATCCCTAATTAGCTCTTCCTTCAATGTTGGCCCAGTGGAACCTTCTACAACCATAATTTGGTTTTTGGAGTTGGCCTGAAATATTCGGCTCCTTAACAGGTCCTCTGGTCATTGTCGTTTCAGTTTTAGCACCAGCATTCATAGTCCCATCTAAAATAGGATCCACTAGTGGCTTCTCTCCATGGATCACAACATTTATCATGTCCATTAACTTAGCCATTTGGTCTCTTGATTCTTCCTGAAATCTTCTTGCTTGATCGATCATATCCTGTTGATTTTTTACGAGTTGCTCTTGTATTTTCTCAATCTTACCGACACGTGCTATTATCTCATTCATTGCTTTGGATCTTCTTACAAACACGCTTAAGGTAATCTTCAATTTGCTTTCAAAGCTTCTCTTTTAATTGCCTTTGCTTTGAACGAGCTCGATGTGTCCAGTTTTTGTTCTTTTTTTATGAGATATCCTTTGTTAGTTAACGTGAATATAATGAAATGAAAATAACAAAATGTAAAATATGTTTGGATACATGATGCATAAAATGTTCGAGGCATCGATCCAAAAATATGTTTGTTATTATAAATAATCCTTTATTGGGGACAAAAGTATTATTTCTTAAGAGACAAAAAACTACTATGTCTTTTAGACCCCGAATAACTTCTGACAGGTTAACTAGTCTTCTGTCTTCGTCTATCATCAGTTAAATACCCTGTCGAACCGCTCTGGCTTCCCTGGCTGAACCGTGTAAGTGTTGAGATGCTTTTTGTACTTGTTCCAAGAAGTCTCGAATGACTGCATCTCTGGCTTTCATCTTTTGGTGAACCTGTTCCCGACGAATACGTCATTGGAGCCCTCCATCAAAAGAAAGTATATGAACCTTACTTGCTTGCTTCTTGAATTTGTCAACAATGGCCTCCAATTTTAGCTATCGTTTTCCAATCATACTCTTGTTGTCTTTGAAGGGATTCTCCAAGTCAGTAGCCTTTTTCTCGTCTTGCCCCTACAAAATTTTGCCAACTCAGAAGGTCGACTTTTTATGTGCTCAGTGTAAATCCCGGTCCGTTCTGAATCCTTTATAATGCAACTGTGTGTCATATTCTTCGATTATAGGTACCACGTCTTTTTGGCTGAACTGTCTTGCAGATTGTCTCCCTGACCATAGCCGGATCTCTGCGTTTTTCACCTCTTGCATTACAACCCCTTTGCCCATTAATGCAAATTATTTAGGTTTAACGAACACGTTTTAGTGGATCAACACCTCTTTTTTAATGATGCAAATGATAAAAATAAAATGATAGAAAACAAAAAGAGTGAAAGAAAAAGTTAGTGGGATAATGATAATAATCAAAACAAATAATGAAAATAAAAGTCCAACCCCACATGCTTATTATTCCTACCGGATATGATCTCTATCCCACATGTTAATTTTGAACCAGTCTTAACCGCATAAATTTATAGTTCACATGCTTTGAACAGAAAATAAAGAAGGAATTAATTCAGGCATTCTAGGTTTTGAAATGAGGTTTTGGGGTGGGCTCTAATTCCCTAGAGTCTATCAGTTTAGGTTCTAAAGAGGTACTCGAGTTCTCCTTGCTGGTGCCTCATTGGGATTGCCAGACCCTTAGTCCTAAACCCATTACAGGCTCATGTGGACTAAGTTAAACTCGAGATGATACATTCCCTTATGCCTTCTCGGAGAATAAATTATCACGAAGACATAAGGTATATGTTGAGTTAATCGATCGATGAACCGGCCAAGAGGGGGGTTGAATTGACAATAAAAATTTCAATGGAAGCTTTTGCAGAAAATGAAAAATATTTGCATAGCGATTTAGAGTGGTTTGACTTTCTCAATCAAAGTCTACGTCTACTACCTTAGCTATCCACACTAAGGATTTTCCACAAATTCACTAATTTGTCTTTCTTTTTGAGGACAAAGAGTAACCTTATAACTCCCTCAAGAATTATACCCAAATTCTTGAGAACACTCTCTTCCAAAGAGAAATATAAAAGTTTTGCAAACTTACAGAAATTCCTTACAAGGCAAAGTGTTTGCACAATTCTAAAACAAGAAAATAAAACTCAAATATGATTACAAATGAGCACAAATTGTGTTCTTGAAAGCAAAGATGAATATTGAAGGAAAATTGGCTTGAATTGCACAAACTTGGTTTTTAATGCTTTCTCTCTTGTTTCTCAATGATCTCTTGTTGATTAATGGCTTTAGAACTTGTTTAAATACACCTTGGAATGATTCTAGCCTTTGGGAACCATTTGGGTGATGTTGGAGCCGTTGTAGTGTGAAAATCCACTAAAAATTGTTTGTTGGGAGCGTATGGTATCGGTACCATTCCATAGGGTATCGGTACTGCAGTGTAAAATTCAAATATTTCGACTGTTAAATGATTGAGGGTATTGATACCATCCAGGGGGTATCGATACCATCCGAGCATTCTATTTTTCTCGGAGCCAAATTTACCATGGGGTCTCGGTACCATCCACGGGGTACCGGTATCATCCGAGCATTCTGGTTTTTTCGTGAATCCCTTCAATTAAAAATAATTTTTGGCTCGATTGAGGCTCGAAATACTTTGTAATATTTTTTTAAAATATTTTGAGATTAAAACATAATTTTACACTTAAAGTAAGGATTGAAATTAAACTTTGAAAAACTTGGAGTTATATTCGAACAATTGAATCGAATATACTTTTGAAAATGATTTGTAAAATCTTAAAATTTATTTATACTTAATTTTTTATATCGAAACATAAAAATGTTTTCAACAATCTCCCCCTTTTTGATTTAACAAAATATTTGAGTAATTTTAAGATTTTCTTTGACAATACATTTTTGAAATCAATTTTGTAAAATTCTCCCCCTTATTATAGCACTTCTCCCCCCTTTTTGTTAAATCAAAAAGGCTCTAAAAACATTTTTAAACAAGGTTTTTGAAAATTAAGCCAATAATATTCACAAATAGAGCTTAAGCTGCTAAGATCACAATCAAGAGAAATGTTAGACATTAGCATAATTCAATATTCATAATATGTAATGGAAATTGGTCATATTTACTAATATGTAAATGATGTAAAACATAAATCAAATATATATATAAATAAGCATTTAAAGTCAAACATCCAAAACAAATTCAAAACATCCACAAACATTCAAAATGTTAAAAACAATAAGTTCTAAGTTTCATTTAAGAAAACTAAAGCAAAGCAAGGTTCAGGCATCCGTAGGAGGATCGGGAGGAGGAAAAAGACCTCGCATAGCGACCATCTCATGTGTGAGCGCATTGATTTGTTCGTTTATTGTTTCGTTGTTCGCACGCATCTCTCGAAGGATTTCCAATTGTTGAGCTCCCATAGAAGATAAATCGGACTCTATGAATGTAAACCGTGAATCCATGGATGCATACCGTAAGTCGAATGTCTCCATAAAAGATTGAAAATATGGAGGCATTTGATCCTCTTGTTGTTCTTGTTCCCCGTGCTGCTCTAGCTCATCATCGGGTAGGGCTTCGACAATATCTTGCATTAGTTTTTGAAGGTCGAGATCATCGTCCGCAGCCAGTGACGGTGGAGGTGGAGCTTGTGAGGAACTAGCTCCATGAGTTTTCTCGACTGAACAAACCTATTGATTTGTTTTCGTATCCTTTTTCCATCCCGATTTCTTTAAAGAAGTCAATTTAATTTGGTTTTTGAGAGGAAAGGCTACATCAAGTTGTACTCTAAGCTCGTCTTTGATAAACAAGTTACTCAGAAGACAACCGTAAACTAGAGTTTCACAAAGCTTTTTATTAGGGACAAGGTTTACGGTTTCAACGAGTTCTACAAATATAATATGAGGTAGGTTAATTTTGCTATTATTTTGGATACAATATATCCACCAAAGGTCTAAGGCTCGAAAAGTGGAGTATTTGCCTCTGGATGGTCTAAACCACCCAGAGATCATCAGATGAAGAAAACGATCTTGGTGATCTAACACACTCGCACTAGACCTAACCTTGTAAGGAGAACCTATTGTTTCCTTTTTCATTATATAAGACGTCATTATCTAATCCAAATGCGTTAGCAATATAGGCCGAGGCAAAATGGATAAATCTACCTAGAAGATAAGATCAAATTCCTATTGTCTCGGTTTTAGCTCGGTTTTGAATACAAACAACATTTGAATAGAAAATCCGAACGAGTTGTTGGTAAACTACTAGTTCGAGATAAAAAAGTTTATCAAATTTTCATTCTTGAAGAGTAAGAAGATATCTAAAGTTTATTGCATCCATAGCTTGAAGAGAAGGAATACGTTCTTCCCAAATTTTGTATGACTCAAAATACTAAGAATAACTAAAGAAGAGATTTTGTCTACGACCAGGTTCATTAAAGAACAAATTGTGAATAGTCATTTCG